AGAGCAAGCCCAGCAGATAGGCAGGCAGAGGAGGAGGCAGCACTGCGTCCTCCACCGCTTCTTATCCCTAATTAGCTGTGGGATGATGGCTGCTCTGTCTCTACTGATGCTCTTCAGGCTTTAAATAGATGCTGCCTGATGCCTATAGGTTTAGGCCAGCAATAAATTGCAGGTATGAAAACCAGATAAAAATTTCTGTGAGATGCATAATAATAGTGAGAAATTAAAACCAAAATGGCAAGTGTTACAGTATTCTACAATCAGCACTTATTCACTTTTTTCTTAATGTGAAACAATCAAACATTTAAAATATGCAGGGACACACACAGTTTATATGTATAAACATACATTATTTAGACCAGCTGAATTCCCAGGAGTTGCAACTAGTCCATGAATTATTCTGTAATTTATACTTCCCCCATCTGAGAATATGCTTCCACCAAAAGATTTTTCTTTTTCAATTAAAATTCATCATGTTAGTGTCCCAACTAAGCAGACAAAATAACACAGAGGGAACACAAGGTATGACCCATGGGCTTTTGCATGTCAGTCTGCTCCTAGACATCATTTTCCTCTAAGTCCCCCAAGGCAGAAAGCAAGCTTGGAGCCAGATGAGCAATTTTGTTCACACACATCTCCCCGCCAACACCTTTTCAGAAGGCACCTCAAACACAACAGGAGATTGAGACCAGCGAGTCTTCTGCACACAAACTATTCACCTGATCCCAAAACAAGCAGCAAGTCAGATCGGCAGCTCCCCCATCACCTTGCTGCTGTGAAGTACCATGGGCATAATGAATGGGTTTTACTCTCTTCTGCATATGTTTGCATCCTAAACCACCACTCACATCTGATTTCAAGTGTAAAACTCCTGCTGCACATCATCATCCAACTTCCCTTAACTAGATCAGCTGCAGAGCACTGGTTTCCTTTTCAGCATGGCTGACCAGCTACTGAATCCTGCATAGCACCGGGACCACAGCTTATGAAGCCATGTAGCTTTATATTTGTACCAAAGGCTGTGGAGTTGCTGCTCATTTCACTTTTGCTCCTAACCTAGAGCTTCTGGAATCTTCTCTTCATAATTTGTTAAATTCATTTTTCCTCTTATCTGTGATGTACAAACTGATTTGAGATGAAACCAAAAAAAAAAAGTTGGGAAATATTATATTTTAACATTTAAAAGTTAATAAACTCTCTATCCTAAAAAATCCCCATGAAAACTAATGTAATTATGACTACAGAAGAAGACAAAAGTTGTTAAAGTTGCACTAGAAAGAAGAAATGCCAAGTCAGGCTGGTTCAGGTCTAACATTCTGCTTGTTGCACTAACACTTGTTGAGTCCAAGCACTTAGAAGAAAGCTCTTCTAAATACCTCCAACTCTCCAAGCCATGTTTCACTTTCCTGTCCTTGAAATCCCCAAGGAGTTGTCCAGGGAAAAAAGGGGTAGGGGAGAGCAGCACAAGCTGGCTTTGCATTCCCACTATTTTTAAATATAATAACGAAGAAATCCACAAGCAGAAAGCTGGGAATATTCAAAACTTCCCAGACCTTTGTACAAGATTTTTAAAACCCAAAGGGAAAAACAAAACAAAAAGGAGTGGTAGAAGCCAATTTTAAAGTTTCCTTTACAGGTCACCTTTCAGATGAAGTCACAGATTTCCTGCACATAATATGGTCTGAAAACACATTATGATGATATTGATGGTTTCTGCACAAGAACAGCAGTGCCAGAAATTGAATTAGAGCTCTCCTGCCTTCTCCAAAGAGCTGATGCAGTGCCCAGGGTGAAGTCTTGTTTCCTTGTAAAAAATTATGTACAAAATAAAAACTCCTATCCCAAATACAAGCAGTTTTACCTCTTAGAATAAAATACAGCTGTTGCTATCAGTGTTTCAGACACCCTTTCTAAGAATGGCCATCAAATGGTAGGTGCTTGGCATTTTTGGCTACTACTTCTTTGAAGTACCCAAATGCATTTCATGTAGTGGGAACCCAGTGGAGATACTGAAAACAATTTGAAGGGTTCTCACAGAATCCAACAAAATTGTTCTTAATTTTATATTTAAAGCCTCAGTTGAGAATTGGCTAGAATTCCAGGTTTATTTGAAGAAAAAAATTCAATATGGATTCATACAAACCAACACAGTTACACTGAATCTAGCTTCAAAATCTTGTGAATGGTTTGCACTGCCTATTACAAATTTACTTGTGATTGCCCACAAACTGACAAGGCCATTTTGCCCTACTTCCACATTTCAGATTAACTCCACACAGCTCAGCTCCCATCCCTGCACTGCTTACAAAGCCAAAAACTCTTTTTAGGTGTCCCAGTCCATCTGATTGCCAATGGGCTGATCTTCCAGCCCTGGATCAGGTCATTGCTTAGCCACACTTCCCACGTATTTGATCTAGGAGTGCTTGTCATAGTACAACTACTGTACTTGAAAACATAACCAAAATTATGGGTTTGCTGTTGTTTTGGCAACCAAAGCCAGTGAGTGTACAACGTGCATTGCCAGGCTATTGGGTGAGAATTTGAATGAGATAGATGACAAAAAGCAGCACCTTGCATTGCCCCAAAATGGGATGTTGCACAGCTCACAGAAGCCATCAGGCATTCAACCTGTGAAGGGGTCTATATGCAAACCCCACATCTCCCAGTTCTTCCCTGAAGATTTTTATGTTTATACCCTTCCCTTTGCCAAGGACCTTTCTGAGCAAAGCAGAATGGCTAAAGGCAATCCGGGCTCCCAGCAAGGACCTGAAATACAACACAAAGCCTGTCAATTATAAGCAACCCGAGAAAATAGTCCTGTGCATGTTATATCTTCACTTTTTATAAGATCAGATGTGGAATTATCTCCAAAAAAAGAGGCAGGGAAGAATCCTCCCAACCCCCCACCACCCCAAAAAAAGAGGAAAAAAGGGCTTTAGCTCACACTCTGAACATTCCGTTTTCCTTTGCATTCTGTTACTCCCTGGGACTGCCAGCAATGCCCAGCTGATCGCATCTGACCTGTATAAAACACTGTCTTTACCTGACACTGTTTTGTCCAAGGGGAGCTCTCTACATTAATTCCACAGGCTTCCAAGAGCCTTGATAATCCTTTTCTAATCTTCTCTGTTGCTTCCCAACACTTCCAGGAATGTTTAAACCCAGTCAGAGCAGCCTAAAATGAATGTCAAGTCCTCCCATAACACTATCCCTATTGCTATGGCTACTGAATTCCCCTTACACAACAGCTACAGGTAAAATCAGGGCACTACACAGGCAAAATTAGCAGTGCTGCAGACATTTCCTCCCTCTTATCTGTCTGTCTCTGAAAGACTTTGTTAGACCATGTGCCGCTAAGCCACCGCTTTGCAGCCGGCTCAAGCAGCAGAGAACTGGAGGGCAAGCACTGCAGAGGCACGATACCGAGCTCCTGCTGCTGGAAAGCACAGACATGGAGTTAATGCATACATCTCCATTGAGATCGGGATCCGTGCAGCACAAAGCCCATTGCAGTGGAGCTGGAGCGAAGTCCTTCCTCATGCCAGAGTGGGTTTGCTCATTCACGGACTCATATAAAAAGCATGCATTAAAAATGCCTTGCCATTATAAGTTGTGTTGGCACAATTTATAACTCTACCCTGACAACCCTTTGAAATTTTCAGGAAAGCATCTCATACGCAGGAATTTATGGTGTAGCTGTATTTCAAATATTCAAAATAAAAATAGCTGTTTCATCCAGATAACCCCAAACCCATTACAAAATATTTGTCAGTGAATTAGACCCATCTCCAGGGGGAAAGGCATGAAATAGATTTTCCTGTTCTCACTTGGCTCAGGATTGGGTTTTGTCTCATTCCAGACCCCCTTGAGGATTCATTAGGTTGCGGGTGGGAAGCACACAGTGCTTGAAAGCAAAGAGTTTTCCTGCTAAAGCTAATAGCCGGCATTTCCAAACTTGGGCTAGCCAGATCACAGTGGGCGATCACAGAAAATCCATGACATGGGAGAGCAGGGGCTGAAGAAGTTCAGTTTAGCTGAATTTCACACCATGTCAGAGTCCTATTTGCAGCTTGGAAAATGAATTTAATAAAGCTTTTCTGCTGTAACATGGAGTGTCAGCTAGCAGATTCTCTGACACCTGCTGCTCTTTGAATCTGATACCATATTGCAGCATAATGTGGTCTAAAATTAGACTTTACACAACACACCAGGTTTCAATCTTTCAGAAAATAATTCAGTTGAGCACCTTTCATTCCCTAGCAGGGCTTTGGGACACATGTCCTTTCCTTCCTGCCCCCTCCTGGATTAACACTTGGGTTTTCTAAGCAAGGGTTTGAATCAGTCATAAAGAAAAACATAAAAACAAACCAAAACTGAAATTTCCACTTGATTGCAAATTATACCATGAAGAAATATACATGCCAATTTATACAGTTGCTTCCTACCTGCACCCCCACAGAACAGAGATTGCATAAAGCTGGAAAGCTTTCAACTTTGGGTGCAGAGAATTATTGTCTGAGACGGGAATATATCCAAAGCTTAAATGACAGTCGGGTGTTTGAATATCTATTTGAAGACTGAGAACCAACTACAGGAAGAAGCCAATGACAGCTCCACAGGATAATGTGATTTTTCTGTATAAATTTCACTCATCACCAAAGAAAAGAATTATCCTGATCTATTTTTCTTTAATCAAGATACATTTTTGTATTACAAATTTAAATGCAATTAAGTGATAACCTATTCTTTTTATAGAGAATTGACTGCAATTAATGCTACCATTTATTCTAAATAGTAATTATATTTTTTTAAAATGTGCCTAGCTTTTAAAAGCTAAGTTGGCTCCAAAACCAGCTCTCAGCTGAAATCTCAAGACAAATACCTATCTTGTCTTTAGAGACAATGTGGAGCTTATATACATAGCATGAATAACATCTTGCTGCCAAGAAATCTAGCACTGGTTGGTGTGCACCAACACAATCAGTGTCTTCAAAAGACTTTAGAAGAGGTATAATTTAAAAAATAAAGCAAAAAGAAATTACAGATGTGCACACTAAAATGTATGGAATTCATTGTGGCAGAAAAGATACAGTCCTTTCACTGGCAAGAAACTGCTCTGAGATATCCAATAGAATTAGTAACCATGCTTTCATCTTGGGAATTGCAATCGATCTACTTTTTGTATCAAAATCATACTGTTCCCAAATTTAGAATGCAACATCCTCATCGGCTTGCAAATGAGCTGGAGCGGAAAAGCAAACAGATCACAAACACTAAACTTTAAAAATTTAAATAGCATGCAAATTGAAGCAAATGAGATATCCAGTGTGGGGAAAAAATAAATCCAACTTCCCCCATTTTAACTGGAAGTCCAGAATATTGTTTTGTACAGGACATCACCCTTAAAACTGAATCCACTTGACTGCCTTAGCCAATTCATAAAACCTTCCTTCACCAAATGTGTTTCAGGAAGTGAATGTCCTTTCCTTACAGCTGACAAAGGTCATCAGGGTAGGGAAGACGAGCATCACAGTCATCCCTTGCAGATCACTGCTAAAGCAACCCTGAAGCTGTGTATGCTGGTGTGGGCTTTCTGCACGTGTCCCACAACAGCATGGCATACTGTTGACAGGCAAACCCCAACAAAAGGTTTAAAATCTAGGTTGAAGAACATTTATTTTGCATAGTATAAAGTGAATTGAATTCTTTACACACTGATAGAACATTTAAGCTCAAGAATATTTCTAAAATGAATGCATGTACACTAATCACATTACTATCTCCTCACGCTTCTCACTAAAAGACATTTTCATCAGATGTTTCTGGTTCCATTTAAAACATTGGGGAAGACATAATTTTTTTTCTCCAATATGCTATAATCCCTACAAGCTACTAACCTTTTCCTGAAAATTACATGGGCCTGAGCAGAAGCTGGTGAGAAAGGAGAACATAAAGCTTCTATACATCTCATTTTGTTTAAACTAGCTTCACATCATGTTGAAAATGCAATCTACACACTGAAACAAAGGAACTGTCTTAATGGGTACATTACAATAACAGCTCCTCCAATCAATCTCCCTTTATACCCATCCATATGGCAAAAAAAAAAATGGTAATATGAACAGAAAGAAGCTCCTCAAGCATTCCTGAAGTATTTTCAGGCTATTCAACCCATTGCATTTACATCTATGAACAGTCACATCCCATTTTAGAGACAATATTCATTAGGCTCATCAAAAGTATTCAGTCTCATTTTTATGTTTGAGGTACAGATGCTTATTTATAGCTTGGTTAAACTTGAAAGTAAAAAAAAAAAATACAAGACCTTTAACTTGCTCTGACCTACCTCTCTTGCAGGTATTCTGCAAGTACTGAAAACACTGGTGTCAAAGCCTTTCAGAGATACCAATAATACAGAATCTGCTAGTTTGGTAACCACAGGTTTCCTTCCTACCTTGCATGAGCTCTTGTTCCTTCTTGTCCCCTGATAGATCTCTCTGTAAACCAAATGTACGATTAGCCAGACACACATGTGGCCTGTGAAGGTTCATTAATAAAAACTTGTATTTGTAAAATACTGAACATTTTCAGCATATCTATAAATCTTCAGTCCCATATAAATGCAGTTAATTTAAAATTTGAAACTACATGCATAAAAATTATAGGCTATAAGATTGTCTAAGAAAAGCATATGGACCATCTTTAAATTTGAAACATCATCAGGGCCTAGAGACAAGAGCCAGGCTCAGGTAACGTGGCTACACATGATATCGAGGTTTGGGAGGTAGCTAGTTAGTGTTGGTTTATGGCCATCTAAAGTTGATGAGGGACTTAGTCATAAATTATTTATCTTTTATTTCGATGTTATTTCATGATAACCAGCTATTACATTCTGCTTGATTATGGTGCTGGTTTGCATTTTAATCTGTTTTAATTATTTTGAACACTATGATTAAGAGAGAAGGAAATAAAGAGGGTAGATCAGGACAGGCATAATCTTAATATATACACCCTTAAATAAATTCAGTCTGGGATACCAGGCTGAAATCATGCTCATGTACTATGAAGCAGCCCCAGAGCAGTAAAAGATCTCACTGTCCCCAGGCACCAAATAATTGCACTTGCCTCTCTCTCACCCTGTAGCTCAGACTGCGATGGGTGATTCCCTGGGGGACACAGCGGTGTGAAGGAGTAGCTGGGTGATGGAGGACACAGCTGACTGCAGCCAACGCAGGGCCCTGCACAGTATCACTGCAGAAACGCACCGAAGTATATGTGGGGGTGGTGAGGAGAGGAAATTGTGAAAGCTGTTCAGAAGCATTGCCAGTGCAGAATATTTTTATACCCTTCACAACTTTGAATCAAGTAATACATTACTTCATATATGTTCGGTGTTCTCAAAACCAGGAGGACCCGAAAGCCAGCCCTGAAAGAGGGAAACCTGAGTCAAACCAAGCTAGCAGTAATAAAAGACATGTCCAGAAAACACACAGGGATGTTTGTAAAGAAAACACAGCAGTGGCCTTCAAGGTGAGAGGGACAAGCTTGCCTTCGCACAAGCATGGTTTCCTTTAGCTGTGGCAAAGAAGGAACCAGAAGGATCACCCCAAAGCAACTCATAGGGTTAAGGTGGCCACTTCTCTGTGTTTGATAGATCTTGACAAATCATTTAACAAGAACATGGCCACAAGGAACTCTTTCCAAAATACAGAACAGAAATTCATCCATCTGGAAAGCATCACTTACCAACCCCAACCCCTGTTTATTCCCATATGCCATTACCTGCTTAAATACCTGTTTTGGCCAGATTCACAGGAAATACTCAAACTCCAGTTTAATTTACGTGCGGAGAGTTTGAATGAACACTGTTCTGCTGCCTGGGCAGTAGGTGGAAAATGGTGCTGGTAATTCAAGAAGATAAAAGCATACACCTAGGAGAAGCTAGGCAGAGAAAGCAGGTTGTTGTCTCTGTGCTTTACACACAGCCAGTAAATGGACTGTTAGGGGCTTACAGTACCATAAGGAAGCTTTACAGTTTTCTATTTGGATGGACAGAAGCTCTGTACCTATGAACTAATCCAGGAGTAACTTAAATGAAGTCTTGTTTCAGAAACAGGATGAAGTTATAGTTATCAAAAAGAAACAGATTGCTTCACAGGGGTTCTGTACCAGTACAACAGTGTAGAATAAAGCTGCAACATGCTTTCTAAAAAAAATAGGTTTTGACTATTACCATTGCTACTAATCCCAGGATGCAACCGGTTTCAATAGCATAAGGATGCCTTAAACCACTATTAAGTTTTTCCTTCTTTGGGAATATACCAGAAGGTTACGATCTGGTCCACAATAGTGATGAAGTAACACTGGTATTACAGAGGGCCTCAGAGCAAAACTAAACAGTTCAGACTCTGTATTCAAACCCAGAATGAGGTACTAGTTCACCTTCTTTGTACAAAAATCAAGAAGGGGTAGCCGAAGGACTACAACAAAAGTGAGACACAGCTACCACCTCAGTGGTTTGCGATGCTGATGCCTATTGTATGTCTCTGCAGGTTGCATTAGGCAAGCACTGGGGAGTTCAGCCTGTTCAACTCTGACCATGTGCTGAGGCTCCCTCCAGGGGAGAGTACTGCGGAGCCAGCATTAGAGCAAGTAGTAAGGCCTCAACAAGCCCCACACTGCTTTTCTGAGCCAAAACAGAGTAAAAAGTCATTGCTTAATCACAACAGTCAAAACAATGAACCAGAACACAAACAGGGTTGCTAATTTGTCAGTGACTTGACTGAGCAACCACAGTAAATAATAGGAATTCAAATGGTGCTCCATGTAGATAACCATTTGTCTCTTGTTGAGCAACTGAGATTGACAAACTGGTAAAAATATTTCATTCCTGCTTTAGTAATGCATGGCTTGTGGAAGACTCCTGACAAACTGTAGTTTGTGTAGTCTATGATTTACCTATTCCATCAAATGTGAGCATGAACAACGGGAGTCCAAACCTCTGGGTCGATGGAAGTTATGATCTATGGTTCAAAATGGACAACAGGTCTGAGACATACAAAATATTTCCTTACTGGATCATCAGCAACTTCTCCCACTGTTGCTAGGTAGTTAATCAAGATGTAGCCTAAAAAAGTTAAATGATTCTATAGTTTATAATTATTGGCTAAAACATGGAGGGGGGGGGGGGTCAGTATCTGGCTATTTGCCAGGTGCATGACACTTTTTTCTGAGATTCGGTCCATGGGGCTGTAATGAAGCCAGGAGTTAGAAAAGATGTCCTCTGACCTTAGCAGAGGAGGAGGAATGCACGTTCCTGCTCCCCTTTACCGCAACTCCCGATTACCTTGACTTGCGGAAGGCTGATCCAGATGGTGAGCACAGGACTGCAGGCAAGCATGCTTCGAACGAATCCTCAGTGTGGAAGGGTGGAATAAGCCATATGTTTTCACAAATTAGGGGTGACTCTCCAACGCCTGAATGATGAAGCAGATCCAAGAGTAAGTTATGCATGATCCTCCCCGATGAGTGAAGAGAAATGTTTTATTCAGTGCCTCATGCTGTGAGCTATATTTATACCAAATGTATCTTTGCACATTTTAAAATGTTATCTATTAGAGAATATTGCAACTGCAACACCGGACTATGTACACCGGCATTTAAAACCCAAGAGCTACAGGGGAACTATACATAGCCTTGACATCATCCAGATGCGAAGTTACTTGTCCAGGTGACCCAGAAAGGCCAAATACCTTAAAAAACAGCTAGCAAACTGCCTTGGAGAAAGCCTTTTTCTCTATGCACAAGGTATGAAGCCTCTGAAATGATCTGACAAGATGGAAATATAAGTAGCACCTTGTTTTCTGATCTTTACCATGGTAACTATCTATAGTATATACTATAGTAAATGTTCAAGACATTTTTTTTAACTTCCCGTTTCTGGATTCCTTGGGTTATGTTAGTTACTTTTTTCCTCATTTGCTTAAAATATCCCCCCCCCCCCAAGAAAAAAAAAAAAAAAGAAGGATCTACACACCAAACTAAAATTATTCTTTCAATCTCAAAATTGTTGCAGAGAATTTATAAGCCATCAGTAACAGTAAAGGCTGCTCAGGTAGAGGATGAGAGGGAGGCAGCCCTTTGCTTGCCCCACAGCCCACAGGAGCTGCACTGCCTTCAGAGGTAGCTTACAGCAGAGAAAGGATGCAACCAAACAGTGCTCTCACAGAAAGACTATATTTCAGATGGAAAGAGAATAATGGTAAAAGCAAAAGCAAAGATCATTCAGACTGAAAATCCATAGCTACTCGTAAACATAATAACTACAATCACATTTATCGACTAAGTTGCAGAGTAAGAGCCCATAGGCAAGTTCATTGGCTAAGATAAATCGCCACAGCACCATTAACTTTAAAACTCCATGCTTGACCTCACTCACTGTGCTCCCAAAATGGCCATGGTAGTTTGGGTTTTTTTCCCCTTCTATTGTACAAAACACACCAACCATTTTTAAAAGTACATTTGCTGCACAGCTTACATTTCACTTATTTTACACCTCACTGTAATTCATTCCCCAGCCTAATCTGTATCGAAACACATGCAGCAATGCAGCCTACCAGTATCTCACTTAATGAAATTCATGAACCACAAAGACCATAGGAAAATTGCTGAAGCTATCTCCTGACCTTTTAATCAGTTGTTACCTTCTGCAACAGAATTTCTCAGACCTCAGCTGCTCCGAATTCTCGCCTGTCTCATGTAATGAGCAGATGTGGCAAAGTTAAGGCTTTGCAACATGATGAAAGTTATGATGACAGGTCTTTCTCTGCCAGATTTTTATGTTTTTACAGGCTAACACTGAACTGCAGCACCTTTTTTTTAATTCAGTTTCTGACAAGAACATATAAAAAAACATATTAAAGGCAACAATAAATCCACTAAAATATTTCTCTTGATTCCAGCAGATACACTTTACAGGACCATGCAGTCATACTCAGTTTGAATTTACCCATAAATATCAACCCCAGCATCTCAGGACTCATGGTGCCTTGCACGTCCCTTCTACCACCTAAAAATAACCCCATGTGTTACTTGGTGAGGGAAATGAAGATGATGATATGTAGGAATATTTAACTGACAGAAGAAAGAAAAACTGAACCAAATGCCAAAGACAATGATAAAAGGAAAACAGTCCTCTCCCTCCCCTGGGCAGTAAAGCAATTACTAGTGCGAGAGCTGCTCGGTGGTTATTATTGCAGGCTGAAGTGGTAGCATTCTCCATGATTATCACAAATGTCTCCACCGGGAGGAGGGAAGTGGGAGGATTTACCAAGCAGCAAGCCCTCCATTTCCCTCCCCCTGTTCCAATGATTCCTGCTGAGCTGAGCTCTGACAACAGAGAGGTGCAGCCTTAGACAGCTCCAGCAGATCTATACTGTCACCCAGCAGAACCAGACCAGGACAGGGCAGCCATGGTGACCACACCAGTATTGATCATCCCCTTGCCAGGCTCACCCAGACCTTGTGAGAACCTCCAAGGGTCCCACAAATCTTCTGGCTGAAAGCAGGGGCATCTTAGTGTCTTTTCAATATCTTTAAAACACGGCCTTTTATCCCTTTTGCTTTAATTCAGGACATTTTGAAAAGCATTTATGAAATTAAAATTCAAAGTTACTTCTCAAAAAAAAAGTCAAAGTACTTCATCTTGGTGTCAACATTTCCAAGTGTTTTTACACAATTAAAACTTTGCTCAAAATATTTCGATGATAAGACAAAAGTGGTAAGAGTGAAATTAAAACAAATAAAGTAAATAAATAAAGATTTGGAGTTTCCAGCTACCTTCAAAATTACCACAGCTGCTGACACCTACCAGATCCCTCTACCAAACAAACAGATAACTTCAAGGCTGGTCCCTATGTGAAATGGGCCAATAACTGTTTAGCTATTAGGGTAACACCTGAGAAGCACTCTCCAGGCTGACACAAACTTGCTCTGCCAGTGAGCCAAAACAAAGGCAATCAAAAAGCCAATAAAACAAATAGCTTGGCAGGACGCTGAGCCCAAGGCAATGCACTTCACCACTTGGACCATGCATGCAGTCAGGGCTGGCCCCACACTAACACCACCTCACAACTGCTGCCCCACAAGAGTTAAAGCACAGGTAATTCTCGAATGCCTGCTTTGTAAAACACTTCAGTAACATACTTCTAAATGTCTACAATATAATTAGACTAACAATAAGGACCACAAACTTTAAAATACGTCATCATCCCTAGGACTACTTCCTCTAGAAGTGAAGTGTATTATTAGGGGGATAGAAGGGGAAATGGTCTGCATTGTCTAAGCAATACCTGGTCCATTAAGGGAAAAAACTGCCTACTGGCCTGTTGCTTTAGTATTTTCCTGGCTAAACCAACATATGGTTCATTATTATTGTACATTACGATAGCCCCTAAGGAACCCGGCTATATCAGGGCCTCAGTCTGCTAAGCACTTGTACAAACACAGGAAAAGAGCCCCTCCTCTGAAGAGCTTGCTGTCTAAACAGAGGAGACAGACAAAGGGCTGAGATGCAGTGTGAGGGTTTGCAAAACTCATCTTACATTCAGGGTTTTCTTTCCTCCAGTTGGTTTTAGTCTTTGTTGAAAAGAGGATTTTATTTTTCAAGAGACAAAGGAAAATGAAGGGAGGGACATAAAAAAGGCTGATGAATAGACAGCATGAAAACCAGAAACAGGGAGGTTAATGAAAAGAAACCAAAATATGAATAAATACATGCAATTTCTACATTTCCAAGAGGAAGGGGAGAATCTTTTCACCGCACGTGCAGAGGATAAAACAAAGAGCAGCGGGTTCATACTGCAGGGAAAACATTAGATATTACAGAAAAAAAGTTTCATGATGGTAAGACTAGGGAAACCGAGGGACAGGCTGCTGGGAAAGCTGGAAAGACACCAACACTGAGAGATGGCCTCAAAGACACATTGGACATTTATTAGGAAGGATGTAGACATCAGTGACGTGGACCAGAGCTGGGAGCTGAGCTCCCTGCCCTTGCAATCTCTCTCCCATTCTTGTTCCAGTAGTGTCACCCCTACCACGTTGTTTCGGGCAAGGATCACTGCTCTGCTATGGTGACTGTAGGTGCAAAATGAGCATGTTTAAAGCTCTCTCAGAAATACAATCAGAAGTGAAAGCACCTATATCCCCATGTTCTCACTCATTTTTGTACTTACACTCCCCCAGACATCCAGCTACTTTGAGGTGTCAGTAAAGAGGGATCATATACACAATGAAATATACCCAAAAGGGGAAAAGAAAACAGCCTTTTCGACTTCATGTGAAAAGCCAAGCAGTTGAAGATCAAAGCTGAACTTCCTGGGAAATGCTATAGATACCACAAGTCCATCTTAGATCCTGCAGCCTACAAGCACTGAGACAGCTCTTCAAGGGCTACAAAGGAAGGAACAGCAGGTTACACAGCAGCATCAGCTGAGAGAAAAGCCTTCGCTAATTACTTGAAACAGATCTGTGACACATTAGATAGGGTTGATGTCCTACACAATCCTCTTCCTTTGGGAAGGATCCCTTTCTACCTTTTCACTGAGGACAAACTGAGCACTTAAGATAACCAGAGCTGGGAGCACTCAGGGTTTATGATGAGGAGTGGGTGGGTGGTGTGGAAATACTGATGAGCCTCCAAGTGTCTTTCTTGTCTTGTGAAGTAGCAGTGATATCTAATGGCAGGCGAGAGCCCATCTGCTAGCTCCTGTTCTCTGCTTCTGCTGCACAAGATGATCTTTTCCTTTACTCCAGGAAAAGAACAGTGATGCCTTCTCCCTGATTTACATTCTGGATGATCCAAAAAAACCTGCCAACTCCCTCTGCTCTCTGCTGTTGAGGAGGACAGACCAAGTGACTCAGAGACAAGAATACAAAACACTATCCACAACTCCTCATGATCACTAAAGAGTGCAAAGTTAAGGTCCTACAGGATGATGCACTACTTGCATTTTGGATTTGCAATGGATAATGTCCTGTTTATGTATTGCTACTGAATTTCCAGCAGGAGAGTCATATCCATAAGATGTGTTCATCTGAAACACCTTTATTTTCCCCAGAACACTCTATTTTGACCATAGAATATGTTCCTTCTCCCCTCCTTTGAAAACCTGTTAAGAAAGAAACCATTATCTCGAGTGGGGAAAAGGCTCATATGAAGCCTCTTCTAGTCTTTCATAGAAGTCTTCCCACAGTCAAGATCAGCCTACTGCAGAAATAAACAGAAGTTAAGAGCTCTCTGTATCTTCTTTCAGCATCACAGATGCTATTGTTAACAGAGCAGCACTTGGAAGGAGTGAAGTGCTCCACAAGTGCTTATCTTTACGACCTGCCTCTAGAGGAGAAACGAGCTCATTATTGTTATCCTAAAATATTATTATATTAAAGCACAATAATATTGTTTCATTGTTTAGAT